CTGAGTTTTCCAAGAAAATTACCGAAAAAGGAAATTTTTTAAGGAAATTTAGGATCAGCGGAAAGAGTTTTTTTTATAATTTAATTAATTATGTATTATTATATATATATATATATATATATATATATATATTAATCTTCTATTAGGTTGACACAACTTATCTTTATTGTGTATTTAAAATGTTATACAATTTCAAAGATTTTCATATGATAGTTCACCCATCTTAGAAGTTTTAACTTCTCTAGATACAACTTAAGGGATAATATTTTGTTCTCTTAAGTTATCAAGTTTATTGCTTACATGTCATCACTATAAATCATCCAAAATTCTAAATGGCAGATCAAATACCTAATTATGTTCCCCCTTTAACTATTTATCTTTCAATAATCTCCTCAAGGTTTATACCTTGGGATTGTTCTTCATGTAATATATTGTCTATTAAAGTACTATTATTTTCTTCTGGATTTTTTGGTGTTTTCTACAGAGGAGATTGAAAGGTAATAGAGTTCGATGGATCAATGTGGATGGAATCTCTTGGGACGTCATAAAAACTCTTGCGATCCACTACGATCTGCACCCATTATGTGTTGAAGATATAATACAAGGATCTCAGCGTAAGAAATATCTAAGATCTTGATTTCCTTTACATTCGTGGATGACTGTGTTTCTTTTTTATAGGGGTAAAGATGGATCAGTACCATAATCACATTTATGTATCATTACTCCTTCATGTTCTTGAAGAACCGGAGAGCGCAGAAAATTCAGGAAATTTGCGCATGGGATTGCTACAACGTGAGCATCGCAAAGGAGGTAAATATTTGGAGACTCATAAGGAATTACGAAAGATGAAGCTTCACGTTGCTGCAGAACAAGTTAGCATTATTTTACTCAATGATGGTAAAAAGCTTCTTTTATATTTACATTTGTGTACAAAGACGAGGATTTCAATATGATGATTCATTTCAGTATATTTTCCCTATATAAAGGCACGCTAATAACCATATTTCAGCGTAGCGGAACGCCCGTTTACAATCCAATTCTGGCGCGAATTGAACATTCCAAAACAATATTACGAACTTCGCAGGATGCAAGTTTGCTGATGGAAGCTGTTATTGATGCGATTGTTGACTTGTAACTATTGGTGTTTATTTTCTGATGACCATATGATAAAAACTGATTTGTATTTTATTTATTTATTTTATTTTTATTTTTTTTTTTTATTTATTTATTTATTTTTTTTTTTTTTTGACCAAAGAGCTCTTCCGATAATTGATTCTTATCAACAACAAATTGCGGAATTAGAGGGGGAACTGTTGATTCAACCAAAGATGGACTACATGCGCGGTAGGAAATCAATTCTGCTACTTTTGCGATCAACCATTAATAAAAATATCCTTCAAAAGAACTTCACATAACCGTTAATAAAAATATCCTTCAAAAGAACTTCACATGATCTCCGGAGAATTGGCGCTACTTAAAAAGACCTTAGCGCCCGTCAAAGGGCTCGTGTCCGTTTTAATAAAGCTCAACGGAAAAACTCACATAACGGAGTTGGCCAAAACCTATTTCGCTGATGTTTCGGTGTGTGTCTGATTGATTTGACTTGATTATACACTATTACATTATATGTAAATATAAAATTACCCTTTTGCGCAATTAGGATCATTGTATTGATATTGTAGATAATTTAGAGGCGATGCTCAAGGTCACCGAAAATTTGGTGAACTTGGTATGCGGTTTATTATTATTATTTTTTAAACCAAACTAATAACAGGTTATCAACAAAAATTTATTTCAGATTTTTTAATTTAATTGCTTATGAGGTAAATAAATAAAATTTGTTTGAAAGAATTTTTTGTGTAAAATTAACCTGGCTTTTATTATTTACTTAGACGAATGAAAACATGGCCCTTCTTGCCTTTATATCTATGATTTTTTTGCCAATGACGTTTATTGCAGGATGTAAGCATCATTTTAAGTATTATGATATTTTCATAATGTTCAAATTAACAAATATTTTGCTCTTTTAACTAGTTTTTGGAATGAATTTTATTGAGTTTCCAGAACTAAGTAAACCTTTAAGGTATGTATCAATCACGATATTAATGTTATCAAACTTTGTACAACTTAGGTTTTTTAAATTATTTTCCTATAGTTATTTCTGGTGGGTAACAGGTATCAGTACAAGTGTAATGTTTATTTTATTCACATTTCGCGTATGGTCTAAATGGATCGTGAGATTCTACAGAAATATACAAAAAAGAAATTGAATCTTATCTTTGAGTAGGAATAAGATCAAATGGAATTGATACTAAAGATTATAAAACAAATTTTTTTCGGAATTTGAAAGTTTGCATTCAATTTTTATTCGATGTAAAATTTAATATTTTTTAAATAAAAAATTGACACTTTTTTTTTAGATACGGTTCTCATATACAGTAAAATTGAATTATTAATTTAAATATACTGTATATACTGTATTTACTAGAATGTTCGACATATAGATAAAGTTTATTTTTTTTTTTTAAGCACACCATTTGTCTATTTTATTGATTATAAGCATTACATATACTTTTGTTTACAAACCAATTTTATACACTGTTTTCTAAGCTAAGCGAAACAATAAGATCAATTGATAGTGGGCACTCTAGGAGTATCCTTTATCCTTTGTGACTTGTTATTCCTTACGGAAAATTAACATGCCTAGGCTCTATTAGCATGTAAATAAAGTTTAATTATAATATACTGTAATTCTAAACAATTATAATTATAATTTACATAATAGGTCTCTTTTTTTTTTTTGGGGGGGATAGATGATTTAGCTTTATTTTATTTTTAACTTTCAAGTTGATATATAAATAGTTTACAAAAATAATCATAAAATAAAATATTTTTAACTATCCTTAAAAAAAAGTCTATTATATTATTTTCAATTTTGTTTTTTGAGATTATATCAAATATTTATTTATTTGTTAAAACTAAGAAAAATCTATCCAATAACCAGATATTGAATACTATAATATCAAAACTAATTATGGTATTTTGTAATTTTACTATTATTTGTTTTATCTTATCTTATTGAATATTCTTTTTACATTATCTATTATAACAAGTCTATAGAAAATTTACATAGGATTTTTGATAGTATCTTATTCTATCCTATTATTCATTTCATATTATCTATTATATTCTACTTATAAAATGATTATATGAAGTCTTGAATAATATCACTAGTTTAAATTATGTCATTCAACAATTGAATTATTGTTGAATTTGATTAAATTTAATAATAAAAATATTGTTAAATTCTTTTCGATTACTATTATTCAGCATATACTATTTTGATAATAAAATGACAATTAAAAATTTGACAATCAAAATTTTATCAATTAAAAGTTTAACAATAAATTATCAAAAAATTCATTAACAATTTATCAAATAATTTATTAACTATTCAGCAAAAATTCATTAAAACTTTATCTCAAAATTATTTATTAGTAATTTAATAAAAATTCAATATTAATTTATTAATAATTTATCAAAAATTTATCAAAAATTCATTAATAATTTGACAACTATTTATCAAAACTATTCATTAAAAATTCATCAACTATTTATTAAAAATTTAATAACTATTTATTGAAATTTAGCAACTATTCATCAAAATTATTTATTAAAGATTAATTGACAACTATTATTTATTATTTAGCAAAAGATTTATAAAACTTGTAAAAAAAATTATTTATATTTATAAATTATTTGATATTAT